TCAGAAAACATGGAATCTGCTTGCCTCTGCCTCCTGAGTGCTGGAATTAAATGTGTGCACTACCAGCCCAGACCTTCCTGTTTGTGTTCTTATTGGACTGTTTTCATGAACAGAAGTTTCAGGTTTTGATCAAGATTGATTTTTATGTCTTTCTTTGTTATGTTCTGTGACAACACATACATTTCCTATTGCTACCAAGTCAGGAGCAAAATCTTCTTGCTTTGCTGTTTTTCAGAACTGCTATTTTTGATGCTACAGGCCCTTTGAATTCCATTTGAGTTCTACATAAATTGTTAAAGTAGGACTGAAATTTTTTTGTCTGTATACATGATTATGAAAGTATCAGTTTTGATTATTGAAACTTGAGATATTTTGAGAGTGAATTGGTGTGTGTTTGCTGTGTGTTATTGCATGTATGTGTGCAGGTCACAGTCAGATGTCCACCTCATTTTTGAGAGGTTGTTTCACAGAACCTGGAGCTCACCTCACTGACTTGTCTAGACTGGCTATGGAATGACCTTTGGGGGTCCTTCTTCCCTGCCCCCAGCATTGTAGGTATACATGCTTCCACATGTGTGCTGGGAGTTCTCCTTTCCCCTAGAATTACAGTTACACATGCTTTCACATGGAGCTGGTATCAAAGTGCAGGTCCTCATACTTGTACAGTGAGCTCTTTCCTCTCTGACTCATGTCCCCAGCCTCCTGGAATGGATTTTTTTATTAGGTTTATACATTTTAATACTTTGTCAAGAAAGCCTTCCGTGTTTTGGGATAAAGAGAGTTTATAATAGTGTTTCTTTCATTTTATATTGCCTATTCAGGAAGGATTTTGGTTAATAATTTCTTCGAAATTAATTGAGTGGGCCAGACTTGGTGGCACACACCTTTAATCCCAGCACCCAGGAGACAGAAGCAATCAGATCTCTGTGAGTTTGAGGCCAGTCTGGCCTAGACGGTAAGTTCCAGGAAAGCTGGGGATACATAGTGAGACCCTGTCTTAAAGCAACTATTTGAATGGATCCACTGGACATGGGAATGACACATATTAATGGCGTCACAGTGCGCCATTTTAAATCAGGCTAAACACACCTGTCTCCTGAAGCACTCTTTCTTGGTTAAAACATGATTAATCTTGTTCTTGCTTTTGAAACACTCAGTGCAGAGCTGTTGTCTGTGGTCACCTCACTGTGTACCCAGAACACCTTACTGTGCACCCGAGGACTCCTTGCTCTTATCTAGCTGCAACTTAATATGTGTTGAAGCCTCCTATACCGTCCTCTCCCTCCCATCTTCCCAGCCTCTGGTAACACCATTCCTACTCTCACTTCCAGGGACCAGATCTTTAGACTCTTTGTATGTGTGAGAGGTTGGCAGTCGCTTTTCTCTGCCGCCTTCGTTCACTTAGCACAATGACCTCTAATTCCACCCGTGTGGTTGCAAATGGAAAGAATTTTCTAAATGATAAGTATTTTCTTCATCTGTCGATGGGCACCTGGGATACTGTGCCCGCTTCTTGGCTGCTATGGATGGAGCATGGTTGTCTCATGGACACTGATGTCATTTCTTCCTCATACACATTGCCACTGAGGTTGATGGGTCACATGCCATCTTAGTTAAGGTTACTATTGCTGTGATGAAGCATCATGATCAAAGCAGCTTGGGCAGGAAAGGGTTTGTTTGGCACACACTTCCACATCACGTCATCAAAGGCAGTCAGGACAGGAACTCAGACCGAAAACCTGCAGGCAGGAGCTGATGCAGAGGTTGTGGAGGAGAGCTGCTTACTGCCTTGTTCCTCATGGCTTGCTCAGCCTGCTTCTCTGGAGTGAAGCCTTTTCCTTGCCAGCCGCTTTGGTTTTTCCCCACCAGTCGCCTGGGCTCTGCCACATTGTAGCCCCCAAATAACACACAAGACGCTGTATTAATTATGAAGCTGTTGGCCTTTTGCTTGTTTCTTACTGGCTAGCTCTGACTTAAGTATTTACTCCATAATTGCTAATCTAAGTATTTCTCTTACCGGAGAAAGGGTCTGGACTTCTTATCCCTATGGCAGCTACATGATGACTCCCTGTGTTTCTCCTACCCAGAGTCCTCCTCGACTCCTAGTCCCACCTATCTTGCTTCCCTATTGGCCAACAGTGCTTTATTGACATACACACAGGACTTCCCTGTCATGCTTCTTTATGGAACCTGGGACCAACAACTCAGGGATGGTGACACCCACAATAGACTTGGCCCTCCATTAAGCACTAGTTAAGAAAATATCCTACATGCCTGCCCACAACCTCTTGCCCCCTTTTGTGGGTTTTCAAACAGGGTTTCTCTGTGTAACAGCTCTGGCTGTCCTGAAACTCACTTTGTAAACCAGGCTGGGCTCTGCCTCCCAGTGTTGGGATTAAAGGTGTGTGCCACCACCACCCAGGACTACAACACCTTCTTATAGAGGCATTTTCTTAACTGAGATTCCTTCCTCTGAGATGACTCTAGCTTGTGTCAAGTTGACATAAAACTAGCCGGGACACATGCTGTTTACACATCGACACATTTGAGAAGCCTTTGTACTGCTTCCTATAATGGTGTGCTAATATACACTCCCAACAATAGTGTTCAAAGAGTTTCCCTTTTCTCATTTTCTTGCCAGAACTTGTTATATTTTGCATTTTTTGAAAATAGCAATTCCTAATGGATTGAAGTACCTCATTGTGATTTTAATTTGCATTTCCCTGAAGTTTAGGGATGTTGGGTACCTTTTTATGTATTTTTGGCAATTTGTAGGTTTTCTTTTGAAAAATGTTTATTTAGATCTATTGCATGTTTTAATTTATTAATTTAATTATTGTGGCAAGGCCTTATGTAGGCCAGACTAGCTTTGAACTCACTATGTAGCTGTGATAATTAATCTTGGTTGTCTACTTAACTAGATCTAAAGCTAATTAAAAGCTGTGCCTTTTACTGGCTACTCCTGTCAAGAATTTCCTTGATCAGATTACTGAAAGTAGGAAGATCCACCCCAAATGTGTGCAGCACCTGCTGATGCAAGCCCAGATACAAGGAGATGGAAGAAGGATTTATTTTTATCTTAATTATTTCTTACATTCCAATCCCAGTTCTCCCTCCCTCCTCTCCTCCTGTTCCCCCTCCCCTTTCCCCACTCCACCTCCCATCTGCTCCTTAGAGAGGGTAAGGCCTCCCCTAGGAAATCTACTAAGTCTGTCCCATCATTTAGTTGAGGCAGGGCCAAGGCACCTCTCCACCCTCACACCTCTGTGTCTAGGCTGGGCAAGGTTCTCTGCATATAAAATGGGCTCCACTAAGTCAGTTTGTGCATTAGTGTTCGATCTTGGACCCACTGCCAGTGGCCTCATATACTGTCCCAGTCACACCACTGTCACCTATATTAAGGGAGTCTAGTTCGGTCTTATGTGGGTTCCCCATTTGTCAGACCAGAGTCAGTGATCTCTCAATAGCTCAGGTCAGCTGATTCTGTGGGTTTCCCCATCATGATTTTGACTCCTTTGTTCATATTATTGCTCCTCTCTCACTTTGATTGTACTCCAGGAGCTTGGCCCATTGGTTAGTTGTGGATTTCTGCATCTGCTTCCATCTGTTTCTGGAAGAGGTTTCCAGCCTCTCTGGGGTTGTGGATTGTAGGCTGGGTATGTTTTGCTTAATTTTTGGTATCAACTTATGAGTGTGTACATGCTATATTTGTCTTTCTGATTTTGCTTTACCTCACTTAGGATGTTTATTTTTCTAGTTCTGTCCATTTGCCTACAAATTTTAGGGTGTCATTGTTTCTTCCCACCGAGTATTACTAGACTGTGTAAATATACCAAATTCTCTTTATCCATTGGAAGAAGGAATTTTTGATTTTGCCTGCTTGCTTTCATGGCAAGTTCATTGACCTTGTTGCTGCTGTTCTCCTTTAAAGCTTCATCAGGCTTCCAACATGGGTTGTTGACCAGTGGCTCTCCAGGAATCCTCCAGGCCTTTCATGTCACATTAGTACTATTGAGGCCTCTGGCCTTGACTCAGCAATTACTAGGTTCTTGTCCTCTCCCATGTGAGGCAGTCACTGTTGGACTAGTCAGACCATACCATGTAAACCAATTTGAGAAATCCCCCTTGTATACATGTTCTGTTCTATAGAATATTGACTAACTTGAACTCCTGATCTTCCTTCTTCCCCAAGTTCTGGAATTACAGGCCTGTATTACCATGCCTTGCATTTTAATTAATTTTCTTATTGGTGTATATTCATTGTACAGTGTCCTTATTGATCTTTTGTCAACTAGAGTTATCTAGGGAGAGTACCCTCAACGGAGAGAATGCTTCCATCTGATTGCCTGTAGTAAGTTTATAGATAATTTCTTGGTTAGATTTATGTAGGAGGGATCTGTCCTCTGTGAGTGGTACTCCTCCTAAGCAGATGGACCTGAGCTGTACAAGAAAGCAGGCTGAGCAAGGTGCAAGTCAGTAAACAGCATTTCTCCATCTTTACCTATTCTTCAGTTGAGGAGCATCTAGATTATTTCCAGGATCTGACTATTATGAATAATGCTTCTATAAACACAGATGAGCAAGTGTCCTTATGGTAGGATGAAGCATCCTTCAGGTATATATTCAAGAGTGGTATAGCTGGGTCTTGAGGTGGATTGATTGCCAACTTTCTGAGAAGCCACCATATTGATTTCCAAAATGTCTGTACAAGTTTTCATTCTCACCAGCAGTGGAAGAGCATTTCCTTAGCTCTGCTTCCTTTCCAGTATGCACTGTCCCTGATGTTTTTGAGCTTAGCTAGTCTGAATCTCAGAGTCATTTTGATTTGCATTTCCCTGATGGCTAAGGCTGTTAAACATTTCTTTAAGTGTTTCTTAGCCATTTGAGACTCTACTGTTGAGAATTCTCTGTTTAGGTCTGTGCCCTATTTTTAATTGGATTATTTTTTGATGTCTAGTTTTTTGAGTTCTTTATGTATTCTGGAAATCAGCTCTCTGTCAGACGTGGGGATGATGAAGATCTTTTCCCATTCTGTAGACTGTCATTTTGTCCTATTGATGATGTCCTTTGCCTTACAGAAGCTTTTCAGTCTCATGAGGTCCCATTTAATAGTTGCTGATCTTATTATCTAGGCTATGGAAAGAAACACATGGTATGTACTCATAAGTGAATATTAGCTGTAAAGTAAAGGATAGCCAGGCTACAGTCCACATGCCCAGAGAAGCTAGGTAACAAGGAGGGCTCAAAGGGTACACTCGAATCATCTTGGGAAGGGGAAATAGAAGAGATTTCATGGGTGGACTAGGGGTGTGTGGGGATGGGAACATGATGGATCATGTGGGGTTGAGGTGGGGGGAGAGTACTGAAAGAGACTACTGGAAAGGGGGACATTTGGGAGCCAGGTAGAAAGTAGGTGCAAGGGAATCTTCCAGGAATCTACAAGGATGACCTAAACTAAGGCTCCTAGCACTAGTGGATAGCTGTATGGCCTGAACTGACCATCTCCTGTTACCAGGCAAGACTTCTAGTGGAGAGATTGGGACACCAACATAACCTTCACTCTATAGTCTGTCTTGGCCTATGGGATGTGCTGGAGTAAGGGTGACAGAGATTGTAGGAGTGGCCAACAAATGACTGGTCCAGCCTGAGACCTATTCCACAAGAGTGAGCCTACCTCTGACGCTGCCAGGAGCACCAGTTCTCACAGGTTGGATGGTCCAGAGACCTAGGATAGAAACAAACGTGGCTGAAGGAAAAAAATGGTAATGTAATGATGCCTAATGATTTTTGGCTATACTCACAGATTGCTGCCTAGCCCAACTGTCATCAGAAAGGTGTCATCCAGCAACTAATGGAAAGAGATGCAGACCCACAATCAAACATTAGTCTGAGCTTGGTGAATCATGCTAAACAGAAGGAGAAAAGATTGTAAGAGCCAGAGTGGTCAAGAACATCACAAGAAAACTCATAGAATCAACTAACCTGGGCTCATAGGAGCTCACAGAGACTGAACCAACAACCAGGGAGCCTGCGTGAGACTAACCTAGGCCCTCTACATATATATGACTGTTGTGTAGCTTGGTCTTCCTGAAGTACTTCTAACAGTGGGATCAGGGGCTGTCTCTGACTCTTCTACCAGCTTTTGGGACCCTATTCCTCATACTGGGTTGCCTAGTGCAGCTTAATACAAGGGGAGGCACTTAATGTTACTACAGCTTGATGTACATAGATATACATGGGGGGCCTGCCCTTTTCTGAATAGAAGTGGAGGAGTGGAGTGGGAGGAGGCAAAGGGGGAGTGAGTAGGAGAAGGGAGGAGAGGATGGAGGGGAAACTTCATCCGGATGTAAAGAAACACAAGAAACTCCATTTAAGACAGACAGAATAATGGGTTTCACTGCGACAGTCTCATGCTTGTATGTGTATCACATTCTTTGGTTTTATTCAATACTCATACCATTTTCTGTCTTCCTTTGCCCTCCTGTCCTCTACTTATCAAATAGTGTCCAAGTCAATATCAATAAGTATTCAAGTTAGTGTTGATAGTACTCAAATTTTATTGAGAAACTATTATTACTCACTGTTTCCCCTCAGTCTTTCCATATGGGTGATTGTTCCCTTTGCTGTGTATGAACTGTGATTTTGATGAAATTACTATTTTAATCTAATTTTGCTTTTATTTTCTGTGCTTTCAGAGTCTTCTACAAGCAATGTTATGTTATATATGTATTTTGGGGTAGTTTCACAGTTTCATATCTTATATCTAAGCCTTCAGTACATCTTGAGAGTGATTTTTCTTTTTTGTTGAGGCAGTGTCTCATGTAGTCCAGACTGACCTTGTACTTGGTATATAGACAAGGATAGCGTTGAACTTGCTATGTAGTTAAGGATGGCTTTGAACCTCCTCTTCTCCAGCCTCCAATGACCTGGGTTACAGGCGAATGCCATGACACCTTGTTTGAGAGTTGAGTTTTGTAACTGTTAAGAGAAAGGGTCTCATTTAATTCTATTGCAGATGGACACACAATTGCCCTATGCATTTATTGACAAGTGTGTCTTTTTTTCCAGTGTCCTTAAAGCATTTTGTCAAGAATAATTTGTATGTAAACGTTTTTGGTTGAACCTGGGGTCATTGGTGCAGATTCCTTGGCTCATGAAAAGACAAGAATCTAAATTCCAAAAGACAGAACAGAAAAAACATTTCTGAGATAAACTAATTATGATAAATGGGAAAAGCCATCCACAATATTTTATTTGTGTACCATTTAACCAAGGCATTTTGTTCCCTTTCTGGTTGGAAGCTTTTCTAGGGTACTTACCCTGATCTTTCTTGAAATTATTTTAAGAGCAGTCAGTCACACACATTTGTTCTCTCCCTTCTCATTTTTATTGAATATAAGAATTGTTTAGCTGAATACCTTCTTCTAGTATGGAATAGATACATTTGTAGAGTTACATGATTTGTGTAGAGTTTTAACAACATCACAGACTTCACAGCCTTTTGGTACCAGTGATAATTTCACTCTGCGATACTGGCCCAGTAGTTAACTGGTCAGGAACTCCTGAGCTCTTACAACATGTCCAGCACTGTGGTGTGAATAGATGGCACAAATTACCACTATAATAATCTCTGGTAATCCAGTACCACAGAGTCTTATGTAAGGCACAATTAGAAAACAGCAAGAGTAATGTGTAACAAAGTTCAAAATTAGATAGAATTAAGGGTGACTTTATTATAGAAATAATATCAAGCAGCATCTTAAAGAAGCCCGGGTATATGATGACAATATTGACTTGTGATTGAAAACACCTTGTATAAGATAGGGACAAACAAACTAACTTAAATGTGAAAAATAAAAGAAATCCAATGATACTTGAATTTATGCTTAAAGGCTGTTACAGAACGTGAAGAGCAGTAATTGATGAAGGAGCCAGAGAAATCTTCCTGGGAGTAGAACTATTCTAGACAGAATTTCGAAGAATGTTGTAGTTAGGGAAGGCAGAAAAATCACAAAATACCAGAGTCAGGACATGAGCAACATTTTAACGAAAAATTGAATACCTTATAAATTAAAATATTATTCCAATGCAGTTCAAGGGAAGGCCATTAAACATGTTTATGGGCCTCTGAAATAAATTGCTGTTATATAAAGCTAATAAAACCCAAATTTACACAAGTGCTCAGGTGTGGGAATGTGCACTACATTAAGCAGTAGAGCAAGTGTCCAGATTTTATTGTGTGTAGATGGTTCTGTTCCTTCTGAGTGCTTCTCTGGTTGTGGCCACTCCTAATGGAATACCATTTCTTGGTAGTATGTATGGGTATTAAGAAACCTGTTTGCTTTCAGCAAGATGTCCTAAAATAAGTCAGCTAGCTACTCCTATCCTTAAAAATTGAGTCACAAATTGCCCTGAGGGCTTAAAAGTGATAGCTCAATGAATAACGGCTCCTCTAACATAAAGATTCAAACTTGAATTCCCAGAACTCACATAAAATCTGGGCATGGGCACATGCACCTATTACCCTGAGTGTTTGGGGATGGAGAGAGGCAGATGTCAGGGGGGCACTGGCCAGTTAGCCTAGACAAAATGGTGAGCTTCAGGGTCATTGCGAGACACTGTCTCAAGGGACTATGGAGAGAGTGAGAACACTCAATATTGTTCTATGGTCTCCACGTGTACTTATGTACATGCATTTACACAAATGCATACCACACACACACACACACACACACACACACACACACACACTACCCTGCTGACCCCACAGCATGAATAAACCTGAATATGTAACTTTTCATGTGATTATTATTTCCATTAAACTTGAAGAAAACAGGCGATTTATGAAGATTGCGGGCAATGGAAATTCTAGCAGGTATTATAGGTTCTGCCAGGTTCTCTGCAGCATTGATTTGGGTTATCTCCAATGATCCTAACAGACTTTATTATGTCCTTCCACGGGTGACCAATTGAAGGTATGTGTCCTGAATCATCAGAATAACCTTTCATTATCTAGGCTGACACACATGCATGATGCTGTTACTTGGATGTCATTGGAAAATTTTTACTTGTATCGTTTTTATTGATACATTAATTATACAACTTTTGATTTATTTTCATAAATTTTGAACTTATTTTTAATTTTTTAATTTTTATGTTTTATGTGTATGAATGTTTTGCCCGCATGCGTGCATGCATGTGTACCATGTACATGTAGTGCTAGAAGAGGCTGGAAGAGAGAGCCTGACCCCCAGGAATTGTGCTCTGCCATGGGGGTGCTAGGAACTGAATCTGAGTGCTCTGTGAGCGTGGCCAACACTCTTAACTTCTGAGCCATCTCCTAAGCCTCAAACGTTGATTTCTTTACACTTGCATCTGAAAGTTGAGCTGTGGATGGAGTCCAGACAGAGTGTGGTGAAGTAGCTCCAGTTTACATCGCTGCTTATATAACCATTGTTGTGAAGCCTGTCTGATGGCGGAGAACAGAATAAGAGCTATATTCAAATGTAATTTCCTTTTTGACTAGCAATGCCTGAGATGGATGTGGTTTTTGCAGAGGGAAGTTAGTGCCGCAGAAAGATTCTTTAGTTCACTACTTCAGTGTTGCTATCCTATAGTGGATAATACTAAAATATAGTCCATGAGGCTTGACAATTGATATAAAATGAGAGAATTATTAATAGTCAGTAGCTCTGTTGCTGCTTCTGAGTGTGTGACCCTCTCAATGAGGGGTTGTGCTACTTAACAGATTTAAGTTCTGTGGTGATGAAAGAATGTGGTCCCCAAAGGGAGTGGTACAATTAGGAGTTGTGGCCTTGTTGGAGTAGGAGTGGTCTTGTTGGAGGAAGCATGTCAGTGTGGCTGTGGGCTTTGAGATCTCATATATGCTCAAGATGCCACCCAGTGTCTCAGTTCACTTCCTGTTGCCTGCGTAAGATGTAGGTAGAACTCTCAGCTATCTTTGCAGCACCATATCTGCCTGCATGCCTCCATGTCCCACCATGATGATAATGGACTGAACTGGAAGCAACCCAAATAATGTTTTCCTTTATAAGAGTTGCCATGGTTAGTGTCTCTCTTCATAGCAATAGAAACCCCAAGACCACTTCATAAAAAACATGTGGCTTAAGAAATATCATTTTATTTCTCACAAAATTTCAAAAAAATTATTAAGAGAAAACTATACCTTGGCTAAAATCTGGATTACTGTCTTAGTCACTATTGCTGTGAAGAGACACTATGACCAAGGCAATTCTTATAAAGGCTTGTTTACAGTTCAGAGGCTAGTCTATTATCATCATGGTAGGGAGCATGGTGGCATGCATTGTGTTGGAGCAGTAGCTTAGAACTTTACATCCTGACCTGTAGGCAGATTGAAACCTTAAAGCCCTCCCCATTGTCATACTTCCTTCAATAAGGTCACACCTCCTAATCCTTCTAATCTTTTCAAATAGTTCCACTCATGGTGACTAAGCATTCAAATATTTGAGCCAATGGATGCCACTCTTATTTAAACCACCACACTGAATATTAGGTATCTGCTGCTGCAGAACAAGCCACCACACATTTTATGTTTTAAAACATTTATTCTCACATATTGTTTATGATTTAGGAAACCCAGCTTATCTGAGACCTTTGCTTCATGATTTCTCTCACACACAAGGCGCCTATCAGGGTCAGTCAGCCAAGGCTGCAGCTTCACCCGAAATCTCATCTGTGAAGGTTCCAGATCCAATTTCATGGGATTGTTGGCAGAATTCAGTGTCTTAGATGTACTTAGATTGGGGCCTTAACCCTTTGCTGCCCAGGAGGATGTTCCGTGCTCCTGCATTTTTCCGCAGTATTATTTGCTTTATATAAGCTAGTTGGGCATCTCCTAGCAAGAAAGAAATTGAAGCCTTA